TTGTATGTTGGTTTAAATTTATCAGAACAAAGTATTATTTTCGTAATAAAAATAAAATAGTTAATATAACAATAGAAATATATTAAGACATTTTTTAAATTCATTTATGTAATTAGAAACAAAACGTTACATATTGTCCTAGCAAAACCATTTCTTTGTTTTTTTTTGTCATATATAACAGCATCTATGGGCGTCCCCAACATAATTTATTTTATTTTCTTTTACTGTCCCTATACTCTCGGTCTATTCTTCTTGAAAATAGATAAAATATCCTTGGAGATTGTTTATTATGTATCTATGTCACAAATATTGTTAATTTATTACGAATATCATGTAAAACAAACTTGAAAAAAAAACAGAAATATAAATTAGAAAAAAAAATAAAAACGTCTATAGAATTTTAAAAATCGAATACATTCTTTGATCTGCTGAACACAATAAAAATGTCTGGACATTATTCTTAATAACCTAATTTTTTATCCGCACAATATTAAGCTGTAATTGTGTTAGACTGGAAACAATAACTCAAACTAACTATCCGAGTAACGAACTATGAATCAAGAATGACGTGATATATAGCATACATTGACGTACAGCTTAGTTTAGGCCTAGGCTTTATGAGCACTTACTAAATCCGCATATGCTCAAAAACTGAAGTGCTTCCACTATCAGATTAATCAATTAAATACGAAAAAAAATATTAGGCGATTATGTAATTCAATATTATATAAAGGCTTAATTTTTTTATCACATTATTTGTCGGATACTTTTTTTATTTTTTATACGATTATAATTACTTTTATACTAAAAAATAATATGAAAAGAAGGGAGAAAATAATTTAATGATATCAATATTAAACATATTAAATAATTTAATCAAAAAGTTTTGTCTTACCGTCGTTACGTACATCCCATGAAAATTTCTCCATAACTCTATCAAGCCACATATACATTAAATAACACATTTAAATATCGGCTAAAGTTTTAAAAGTTATTGAAACAGTTCGGTTTTATTTCAACCCATTTAATATATTGTTTTTCACCTATCATAAAGACTCTTTGGACACATCATACTTTACATCATTAGTTATCTGTGACGAAAATTTACGCGCGAAAACTGTAAAATGGCGCCCCACAGACGCGTCACGATCGCACCACACCAAGCTACTAGCTTATAAAGAGTCGACTCACTTGATTCGCTATGCGCTGAAAGATGCGCAAGTCTGCTAACAACTTTACTTTATTATAGAATATTATAAAATAACTTCCTTCTATTACTATCATAACAAATACTTGAATAACTTAGAAAAAACTAAAACAATATTTTTTTCATTATATAGTTACCCAAATATGTAAAAATATTTGTTATAAAGTGTAGAATGACCATTTAGGAAAGGAGCTTACAAAACAAAATAAACGCTATGAAATTCATTTATCTTATAAAACGGATAAAATTATGTTTTACGCTCAAACGAAAATATATGTATTTTTTCTAATGAAACGAATCTACGTAAATTAATTATAATATTATTGGGTTACTTTTGCTGGTTCTATGTTAGTATGTGTAAATTGGCGAACTTTGTAAGCCTACGTTCAGCGGTGAGCAATGGATGACTTGATTGATAATGTTAAAGTATTTTTAGTAAATTAATTAAACTCTATGATTAGTTTAATTTAGTTTCGTTTTATTGGGAATGATTCGAACCCACGCTTCTAGAATTTTCGCTTCTCACTTCACCAATTAAAATATGTAGCTCTGTAAATTTCAGCACTTAATAATAATTTACTGAAAAAATGATTTTTGTTGTCATCATTTATTGTGTCAATTTTTTTCTTTCGTCAATCGCATGTCACATTACAGGGTGTAGCTTTCGTTTTTTTTTTCCTTTTTAGGCAATATTATAGGAGTTACATAATATTTCTGTTTATTATGTATTTCGTACTGTAACTAATGAAAATCAATTTTTATCATTAACACTTTGTCGTCTGTTCTTTTCAAATTATCATTGTCAATACATTACAAAACTTAAATGCTTAATATCCCAAAAAATTACATAAAACCACACCAAACTTATTAAAGTTTTACTTAATTTATATCGGATTTTTTTTAATTTTAAGATACATTAAATAAATAACTTCCTACATTTTCAAACGGTTCTAACAAAAGATTATGACTTTCCATTGTAAAGATTAAAATATTTCTTCAATAACGATAATTCCATTTCATTTATTGACCACCTCTATTTCTATGTTAAAATTTTAATCAATCCATTCTTTAAAAAGCTTTAAATATCCCTATTATTTTTACTTAACTACAACAGTTAACAAAACAGCCCACAGTGATTCGCTACCTGATATAGATGGATTTTCATTCGAAGAATGCAAAGGATATATTAAAAGCTTTAGATATAAGGTCATGTTAACTTTAAAATTCTTTCTTACAGACGAATCGGAATTTGAAAATATTTTTACCGGTTTTTTATCCGGTTTACAGACCATATGTGAGCTACATCACTATACGGAAACAATTTTATAATCAGATGGTTATTAATTATCATTATTTTTATTTTCCCTCCTATGTGTGATTTTCATTTAGTTTATTTGTTTTCATTAACATAAATGGAATTAAATTTCAATAACTCCTCCTTAATTGATTTAAATAACAATTACTTATAGTACCTAACATTGTTATGTGACATAAAGATGGCGGACAATCCAAAATGGCGATATATCTATTTCTTTGTACCAAATTAAAAGAATACGGTCATAAACTTTCTGGAAATATAGTCTTAAATTGTTACATAAGGATAAAAATAACTGTAAATTTATATTTAGTTGTAAAAGTTTTAGGAATTTTAGGCACCCATATCAACATTATTACTTTGTTATGTGATAAATACTGATAAGAACGCTATAAATAAGATATAATATATTTTATTAAAACAGATATGTTCATAATTATGTCAGATACTATAAACAAAAATAGATTTTAGTTGATACTTACATCGATATTGCGAATGCAATTTTTTTATGTTCACGTTTTTTTTGCTTTGTTACATATTTAATTTTTTACAGTTATTTATATAAAGACGATGATATTATGACAGTAATTTAAATAATTCTGTTCTTTTTTAAATTTAATGACCCATATAAAAAAAGTTTTTTTTTTTATTTTACACGTTCGAAGAGACGAAGCAAAATGAAACACTTTAAATAAAATATCTATTTTAATAAATTAGTACTTTATCTAACCTATTCTTTTATATATCTAAATATCAAAATTACGCTTATAATACTTTCTGACCTACGCCTACATTAAATACCAACTAAAATAATCACGTACACGTGTTTCAAGCAGTTACTTTCACCTTAACACATAATAATGTGTTGCTTATATACTGTTTTACATTTTCGATCCAGTGTTCAAGCGGCTCGTTGGTCTAGGGGTATGATTTTCGCTTAGGGTGCGAGAGGTCCCGGGTTCAAATCCCGGACGAGCCCAAACTTTTTTTACGAAAGTGTAATAGAATATTAAATACAAATATTTTTTTACTTTATCAACATTTTTAAATTACATTTGTTTTAAAATTTTTGAAAAAGTAAAAATAAATTGTTTAAACTCATTTTTCAATATTTTTTTTTAATATCGGAATATAATTATTTCCATAGTGTACAAATTATTAAAAATGTGTCCATAATAAAATTATATTTCAGATTCCATTAGTCCTAACTGGCATCGTATCTCAATTATTCTTTTTTTATATTTCCCAAAGCGGCGGCAAAAACGACAAACATTAAAAACATTTTCATGTCAAAACAAATAAGGCGAAACAATTTTATGAATGATATTAAATATCCACCGTAAATACTTCATGCTTTTATAAGCAGAAAATTATTTCGGCTTTAAAAAATATTGTGAGGGTGAAAACAAAACTCAACAGTTTAATATTACGACTTAAAATGTTTGAATGCAGATTAAAAATTTGGAGCTACATTTAAAAAATCATAAATATAGTGACAGAATTCATTGGCTGGAAATAATTTTATTTTATTAATTAATAGACAGTAATTTGACAAAATAGGTTGCATATATTTTATTAGTGTTGAGGTTTTATATAATTAATATAAATGAAATTAATATTCCGACAAGTCTTCATCCAAATCAATTGTTAATCTAGTTATCGTTAACAGATAACAAAGTTTATTTATGTTAAAGGACGGACAAATAATTAAAACGCCGATAAAACTTCACCACAACTTTATTAGCTTCAATCAGCAAAATAAATAAATAAAATGAAAAGCCGCGGTCTATTTCCAGTGAACGTTTGTAAATCAACTTAAATTCTCTAGCCAATAAATGACTGTCTGTTAAAAATTACATTACTCACTTTACTTGGTAATATCCGGGCAGTCTTAATACTATATTTAGCTTAATATAAATTGAGCAATTTAAAACCAATTATTATGATAATATCAGTGCTCCTATTGAGTATTCTTATGTTAGATATCTTATGTAAAACAATTTCAATCAATCTTGTCGTAGCGATAAACCGGTGTACACATGTGATCTTATTAATGAACGCCGTATAAGGCCGGTGATAGACATGTTACTCTGCCGGCCGTTCTGATACATATAACTCATGTATTCAAAGCCATCCAAAATTATCGCTGACGTCTGACAGAAATTGTTTTAGATTCACTCTATTTACATAAATTTGGTTAACCAATTTAAAACTTAGATTATAAAAATGCACGCAATTACGTAAGTCTATGAGAATATTGTCATAAGTGTTGTGACTGTATTCCACTATCCCGCCATAGCGAAGAAAAGGAAATTTTAAGTCTTAGAATACTTAATTTAAATTAATGTCACAAATAGCTTTATAAAAAGAGTATATAGTTTGTAATATTTAGCTACCGTCGTGCGCTATCGGTTAAAAATAGCGGGAAAGTGATAATGACAATCATGTTATTTTAATTCAAGTACAAACGTCGAAGGTCTAAAGACATTCGTCGCGGTCAGCATTCCCGGGCCAGTCGCATACATTCAGCTTGAAATTGAACACGGTACCTGGCTGGCATGTGAATTGTACTCCTTCGCCGTTAACGCATCTCCAGTACTGAAAAAAATGAACAAAATATATAATGATAGTCATCAATTATTTATATATAGTTTTTCTTCGCTTTTAATAGATGGCAGTAGTGTATTTTTAAAATGGACTATCGGTGTAATCCATCACACTTCATGGCTGGTTCTCATTGCCTCGCTGGCGAGACCGCGACTGACGGCTTGATTTATGTATCGGGCATTATATAAAGCGCTTTTATTTAAATCAGTTATTTTTCATACACGTACATTATCTATGAAGAACCAATGAAGTATATTTTGGATACGAAGCCTTATTAAACTTTATGTTACACATCGTAGGTTTGAATAAGTTATACATAAAATAATTATGTCTGCTCTTTCAATATATATGGTTAAAGAGAGAGAGAGAAAGAGAAAAAAAGAGAGAGCATGACTATCAAAGTAGCTATATTTAGTACAGTTAACTATAAACAAAACAGAATTTAATCGGTTTCCTTTACCCAAGAAACGCTAAAATGTTTTCAAAATAAACAAAAACATCGGAATCAAACCTTAGGCTCGACAAAATAAAGAGAAGTTATTTTTATTGCGTGTTATAAAAACTTTTCAGGTGAGGTCTAATCAAAGGGCTTTTTTTAGGTGATAAACGTAAATTAGTAATGTCTACTTAAAAAACGATAGCCACCTACTTAAATTGCTTCGTTTAGCGGTAAGCCTGCTTTATAGCAATCTAATTGGGTAATAAAGATGTGATGCCATCTGGCGGTAAATTGGCTTAGTGCACTAATGATATTTTACTGCGTCTGCAGTTATGGTATAACACCACTTAATATTCCTATATTCAAAGGCTTGTAAGAACCAAAAGACTTATTCAGTTCGTAATTAAACGCCAACAAGAGCATCACCCAGATACGAACAAAAACAAAAAGATGATTTCGCAGAAACTTTTACAAAGGACGAAATACATCTTTTCAGCGAAACCAGCCTTTTAACATCCGACAAAAGAATAATATTCATCAAATAAAAGAATGGGAAAGTTTAAAAGAAACAATAACTCAATGATAATGTTACCTTATCGCAATGCTTCCTGTCGGGAACGTAGTCATCTTGAGAGCTGCATATTTCAGGGTTGTCCACCTCGTTTTCCTATAAAAATAATATATTTTTATACGTGTTAATTGTTTTTATATGTAAATACTTTATATTTAAATTCAACAGCTATGTTATCAATAATAAGACTGATAAAGTAATACTCAAGAATGAAGAAGTAGTAGTAGAAAAATTGTAAGAATAAAGAAGTATTTATTGAAAAAAACTCAAGCTGAAAATTCTACTTATATGATTAGGTACATACCACAGGTTGTTCTACGTCACTAGGTTTATCTGGTAACTCAGAATCATCGCCAGAGTCTGAAGCCTGTGTGGTTGTAGTCAATGGCTTCTTTGTAGTACTTGTGACAGGTGGTTTCTTGGTAGGGGCTTGTGTAGCGGCCGGAGTCGTTGTAGGAATGGGAGCGCCTTCAGAAGCATCGGATGGGGTGGAAGGCGGTCTTGCCCATTCAGGCTGAAAAATTAAAATTTATCTTTCAGAATTTCTTTACATTTTCAATAGTCTTTATTTACTCTATGGGGTATTGCTATTAAAAATTAATAGGCGTTATCAAGAAAAATATTTTTAAAGTATTTGAGAATATAACGTTAAATGCCAACAAACGACTACGTCACAATGGACTTGCACCGTCCTCGGGGAATGACGTCTACGGAATTTTAATGGCCACTCGATAAATGGAAATAGAAGAATAATGGTGAATAAGGAACTATAAATCGAACTGTGTCACTGAGCTTGGATCGTTTAAAAAAAAGTCTTGACAATGGCTTAAGAGACGTGAAAAAAAGAGATTTTTTCTCTCTAATACTTAAAAATCACATAAAATTAAATACTTCATAACATATATTACAATAAACTGAACCGCTTAAGTCACGCTTTTGACAATATTCTAAACACTAGTACAGGTTTTGTTTTAATTACGAAAATATGAACATTTTCTATATTGCGAAATTGTACAAAAAAATTAACAGTTAATTCCACTCTCGCTAAAATAACGTCAATAGCCTAAGTTTCTAAGACTCTTTTGGACTTAGTCATTACGGCCGAAGTACGAAAATTTTAGAGCAATATTGAAGCTAACTTTCAAACTGCACTGTATCTCTCGAAAGTTTACAATTTTCATCTTGAAATATATTTCAGCGGTTGCTTTTAACATTGGTTTGTATATAAATTCTTAATTACTTTATTTTCAGTGACATTTTCATTAATAGTATAGTAGCAATCAATCTTTATGTACTCACAGTAGGTGTGGTATTTCCACTACGCGGAGGCGGTACGCTGTACGACTTCATGTATTTGTAGAGCAAGTTCATTAACGGATTCTTTTCACCACAGATTCCTCTGAAATCATCCATATCTATGGCCCAAGTCATCGCTCCCAAGTAGCCCTTTTCTTTAATCCACTTCATCTTAATCTCGACACTCTCAGGGTCTTCATAACCAACCCATTGTGTTCCTTTATAGGCGTAGGGACATTTGCCATGGTCATCCCATTTCTTGGTCCACCCAGAACCCGGCTTGTCCACATCCATACAAATCTATAAAAAAATATAAGTGAAAATCACTCCCTTTGTATTTTTATTAATTAGTTTTATACCTCAATCAGAAATCCATTAATCAAATTCTATGAAAACATTTTCTTTGATTCAATAACAACGCAGCTGTTCCATTATTTGTTTATTTATTTTTTTCTTTTATAAGCCACAATTATTTTCGACAAAGGTTCACAAACAAAAAGATTCGTGGATAAAAAAGACACAATAGTTTTCTAGCACTTCTGTTTGTAAAAGCAATACTTTATATAATAATTACATTTTATTTCTGTCTTACAATAATTATTTCTCGCTTATTTATTTCTTTTAAAACTGGGGACGGAGGAAAACTTGTAGATTTTAGTTTAATGAGAATTCTTAGGCATGAAAAAACTCGAGAAGATACTACAAACGTGACCATTGGAAAGTTATTGAAATGATTAAAAACTTTCTTATAAGGAATATAAGTCTATGTGGCTGGACTTCAAAGAATTCCGTTTTATTTAAGACATATTAAAAAAAGCTATAAAGCAATTTTTCTTTAATTCTGATGCATGAAATATAATCTTAACACATTCACATATTATTCCAAATGCTTTTGTTACTATTTAGATTTAAAATATTCGAAACATATAAATATAATTAGTCTGTTTCTATCTAATAAAAGAAGATAATTAAAGCATAATTCCTACCTCATAATACGACCAAAATCCAGTGGCGTTCGTATATGGTGCAGGGTTGCCTCCTCCAGCCTCCTTATTGATGTAAGTTCCCAGGCCATAGTTATTGTTGCCAGCCGATAATGTGAAGGAACGACCGTAGAAGGGGATTCCTACCACCAATTTGTTAGACGGACAGCCCTTCTCTTCCCATAGATTGAGACCATCGTTCTAAAAGGAGAATAATTTCTGATATAATCGTGGCTTTGTTTATCCGAAAATTATACAAAGCTAATGTGAAAATAGTCTTTTAATTCGGTTTAAAATTATATTTATTGGTTTTATTTTATTGATTTTAGTCATTCTTATATTCGGTTAGTTAAAATCAACTTACAACATTAAGTTTTTCATACGCCCACTGATCATGTGGGCGCTTGTATAAAGGCGAGTGCACATCTGCGAAGCCGGCCCAATTCCCACGCAAATCGTATGACATTACATGTATAGCGTCCAATTCCCTAAAATAAAAAGTCTCTCAGTTTTTTTTAAACCAACAAATACAATAAAAAGTATTGTTGATAGTACACTCCTTTACGCTTTATATAATGTGGTAAAAAATAAAATATAAAGTAAATTTATATAAAGACAAAAGTTGATTAAAATTCAAATAAATAAAAAACATGTATGCACATTATACACCCCTCTACCATTAAATGTTCTCATATTAATAACATCAACAATATATTTAACCTCAGCCATTTAATAACAAAAAACTCATCCATTAATATTGAAACAACAATTTAGTGCAAGTTTAATATAAATTTATATGAAAGTAAACCGCAAGCTTTATTAAATAGGATTTAAAATCTCACTTTGATACAATACAATGATAAAATTTTGCTCCAACAGAAAATAAACTTTACAAAACGTTTCAATAAAAGTATTCCGGACACGTAAAAGTAAATGTAACAACAGCTATTCTCACAAATTCTGGAATTTTGGATTAGTTCGGGCTCCGTTCTTAGTAATATCATTTTATACCCAGGTTCGTTGTGTTGTACACAAGATTAGTTCATTATATTTAAGCTTTTGAACTAATGTTTAGTTTGTAATTAATTACTGTCTGTTTTAACAGCTTTCCTCGCGGGCAGTTTAAATTCGAATTATTTAAGTTTAATTTCAACCACGAGTTATTATTATATTGAGTTACATTTAATTAAAGTTTCTTAAAAAACTTTCTTTATCATTTTTATCTCAAACATCTCCAGTCACTTTAAAAGATTATAACTGTTCATTTTACGTAAATTCTAAAATTGGTAAACAAATCCTTACTGGCATAAGTCTGGTACATGATAGCCTTCCATAAGTCTGAAGCCGGCGAGTGGAACAGCAGCAGTCAGTTCCCAACCTTTGCCAACTCTGATGAAGGCTCTTCTCAATTCCTGGACCAAAAACAAGAAGCGGTCTTTGTCTGAGAATGATCCACCACGGTCAGCTGCGCCGGGATACTCCCAGTCGAGGTCAAGACCATCGAAATCATATTTCTTCAAGAAATCTGAAAAGAATATACAATATACTATTCCTGTTATATACTAAAATTTTATATATACACATATAAATCATATTTTAATTTAATAAATAAGAAATATGAAGCACCTTTACATTTATTGAATCGAAATTAAGGGACGCTTTAGTCAATTTTTGCATTTGTTTTAGGTAGGGTACATAAATAACTTCTCACTTCTGAGTTTTATTTATCTTATCATAAACTACAGTCTTTCTTTAAGGTTTAATTTTTATTATCATTTCATTTGTTTTTATTCGTTAAATTAAATATTTTAATATAGCATCTTTAACATGTAATGAAATTAACTTAACTATTGATTTAAGGTCTATAAAGCAAAGACGTATGGTCAACCTTTCTAGGAAACTGATAATGTTGTATTAGGTGTTTCTAAGAGTATTATGAAAATAGAATAGAAAATCTATTTAATATTTTAGGAGAAGTCTATTTCCGTTGCCATAAGTTCATAGCCACGAAAAACTAAGAATAACATCTCCTTATTCAGACTTCAGAGCGAATACACGCAAATTATTGCACAATACGTATTACCATTTGAATTAGAAATAAAAGAGTTTATAAAATATACATCAAATAAAGACTGAGAGTTCATGTGAATGTATACATATGTAAATAGTTGGCATTTGATTTGATAAAATGACATTTTTCGTTCAATATCAGCAGTATGTAGGGAATATAAAATTCTTTGATCCCAGTCACGTCCTCTTGCAAATTCTAGGTATTATTTTAATCACATACTTCACTGCCTTCGTAATATCCTACATATTTTATTTCCTACGTATGGCATCTATCCAAGATTTTAACAATCGATTTGAATTTTACACGTCAGGTTTTTTTTAATATAACTTATCTTTGGCATAAACAAGCATTGCTCATATTATCATTGTTACTTCATCTTTAAAAAAACGGACATCGCATATATTTTAAGATTTTGTTTGTTGAAATCTTTTGAATTTTTCTTCCTATCAAATTTTTGTTCGAGTATTCAACATTAACAGTTAAGTAGAGATCCTTTTATACGTCAACACATAAACCTCGAACGTAACTCAGGCATGCGGAACCCCATTACACCGTTTCCGAGTCACTACACGTACAGACTCTTAAGCCAACTGTACTTCCGACAAAACATCTCTGGCCCGTAGTTAAAATTAATACGTACTATTAAATCAGGTAAATTTACAAGAATCTTAACTTTTTGTACATAATAGCAAAGAAAATACGGCTTAAATGTTTGTTTTAACTAGAAAATACTTTTATATGAAAATATTTATAAAATAAAATAGCATAACCATTTTGTTTTCTTCGATAAATTGAATAATAGAGTTGGTTGGTATATATGTTGATTAAAACTAATTGTAATGCAAGACGAGTCTCACCGACTACGCTCCTAACAAATGTCATTCTGGATGTCTTCTGAGCCACCATGTGGGAGTACTTGGCACCACCTTCCGCCCACCCACCCACAGCAACCATGAACTTAATATCTGGATTGGATTTCTTTAATGACGTGAAGTTACGGAAACCATTCTTATCTATATCCAACTGAAAAAAAATACAAAATATAAACTTATTAAACTTGATACACATTTAATAAAATACACATACAGTGTTTATGATTTTGATAAAACTTCACTTTCACCAAAAGAGCTATTGCAGATATATACATAAACAAAATCCCTTACATACTATCTTGTAGTTTGTTTTAATTTAAAATTATTACTATCAAATTATCTCAACACATTCTTAAGAACTATCCTTAGTTATAATTACAGCTCACAACACTTTTACGTGTAGAAAAAAATAAGTTATAAAAACCTAGACTTGTAGTACAAACTCAATTTACCGAAATCGCTCAAGTTTGAAATACGTCTGAAGTTAAAAGCACCGCTAAAGTAAATCATTACTTCATGTAACTGAAAATGTGAGCTGTTTAAACTAACTCCATTACAACAAAACAGTTAACTGCATTAATATGACAGGCGTTACATTATACACTGATTTATGACTGCTATATATCTCTACACTTCATGGAATTCTTGAAGTAATGCTACAATTAATTTCTATCTCGCGACAAATCTTCTGAACTGCATTCCAATTCAGCTATAACTTGCTCACGAACAAACTTTATAGTTCGCAATAATACTTCTTTGTTATGTACATCTGTAAAATCTCTTTTAGAATTCTCATTTAAACAAATTGTATCCCGATTTCTTTGGATTATATCCAAGAAGATTTTTTCTTAATAATATTACCTCGGGATCAATGACGAGTACTTCGTTAGATTTCTCAGTGACCCCAATGAATGAGTATATGAGATGTGTGCACATGTGTACTGGGATATCTTCAATTCCATATCTTCCAATACCTGGTCTGTACACCGCCCAATTGCTGAAATAGCATACTATACGCGCTTTGCTGTCCGCTGTAATTAAAATACCGATGTAAATATTATTATTATTATTGATAAATAATGTTTTTAGTTCTTATTTTTGATTTTAATAATGATAACTTACATTTAACTGCTGTAAAAACAGCCAGGACAGCCAACGTGAATAGTAGCACTCGCATTCTGACCTGTAAAAATATTAAACAATAAATAATACAACTATAGCTATTTCAAGATACTATAAGTTCGATTTTTTTACTGTAATCATTGCGTGATAATTACTATTATAGAATTTAGATACATTTTTTGTTACTACAGCGTGAAACAATTAAAAATCGAAATCCTATACGATATATATCGATATATACATTAATGCAAACAATAGCTTTGTTTGATTTTCAATAGAGCAATTCAGACTGTTATACTTGAAATGGTAAACAAATGAGGACTTTATTATAGATATCCTGTTCCCGAAACTATGTAACTATTGGTTTAAGTAATGCTAGAAGCATTAGGAGAAACATCTGAACATTTTTAGAACCATTTTACAAACAAAATTGTACTAAAATTGAATATTAGACAAAAAACATATTCAGAAATTGGTTTGTTAACGCCATCTTTAAGTGACATGTATATTTTCTTTGATACTTTACTGGAAATAAAAGAACGTGAAACATTTCTCAAAACTTTAATAACAAGAACATATAGTATATCATTTCATACATATAGTATTTATTTTTAGTTCATTTTATTCATCTCATTATAATAACATTAGTCAAAAAAATCAGTTTGTAAAAGTAAGAAAGCCTTTATACATATATCGATTTAAATTCAATGTTACATAATATAATAAGTATGTACCTATATTTGTAAATCTATGAATTATTAAATTGTAACTTTTCTATACATAGATGTAAACATTGTAATAACTTATGAAGTATATGTCTAGTGTAAGCAAGTCAGACGTTGATCTCAAATGACATGTTCGCATAACGGATGCTAGCTCCACTTCTAAACGCCCACTGACCCGTTCTAAATACGCTATTTACTATTTAAAACTGTACAACCACATAAGTAAGTAATTGTTCTCTTAAGAGTCGAAACGTTAAGTTTAACTAGAGTAAGAATTAACTAATATTATTCGTATTACTACGCGTATTTAATAATTTTGAAACTAAATACTCCGTGATCACGGTTGCTGAAAAGAAACCGAAACGTCGAGTATATAGTTTTAATATACTTAAATACGCGTGGCAATCCGAATGATATTAGTTTCATTTAAATAAGAATTATGTATCATAACAACATCTTTTCATATATATAAATCACATATATTTCTATAACTTTAATGTTGTAATGTTTTTATAACTTTGTAATTTTCTTGTTGTGCGTCGTACATATGTATATATTATTGAATTTTCTCACAGTCAAGACTCCTGATTAAGACGGCGTGCATACGATATTATTAGCTACATATAACACCAGTTACTTAAAGTCCAGTTAATAAACTGTGTAATTTTAAAATATTTACATATAAAAAGCTGAGAAGTAACGGTTAGATAAATATGCTTAAAAAAAGGATATTTTTTAACCTTTAAATCCTTTAAATTATACTCATTAAACTATTATAAATTAATAAAGGAACGAAATCAACAAACGAAAGATTCTACATTCAATACAAAGTGAAAATTTTATTTTATTTATAAGTAATACATAGTAAATTATTGTAATAACATCATTTATAACAAAACCTAATCTCTTAAATCCAATCACAAGAGTGAAATACTGTTTCATCAATAGAATACAAAGTACATAAAATAAATTTCAATTAACAATTCAAATTTATTCAAATAACCGTCAACTCCGCGCTTGTTTATCCTGAAACAAGCGTTAAAAAATCGTACATTTAATAAACTGAAATTTATTCAGGACAATTTTTTAAAGTCTAGCCTGCATCTCGTCTAGACAGGTTCATTGGCTAGAACCTAAAATCTATGATAAACTTTAATTTCAAAACATAAAGTTTAAATTAACTGACTAGATAATAGTAATGAGTTTTAGAATTAACTGATCATATTTTTTTATAATGGTAAACCTTTTTATATCACGAGATAAATTTATTCAAGCATACAATATAAAATATAAGAAAAAAAAGATTAATTGTATTATGTATAATGTATAATATCAAAACAAAGCCTTATTGGAAATGCCATGTAAAGATGGTAGCTTTATTTACCGATGACATTCCAGGCTATAGGTATTAGTTTCTGTTAACCTTTTACTAATATCTATTCTTATACGACAAAATGCTGTTTGTTTGTTACCTGTACAAGGGTTTGCATCGTGAACTTAAAACTGATAGTACCATCGTTTTAATATTAAAATATTAATATTTAGTGACGACAAACTGAACTTATGATGTGTAGTTGCGAGAAAAAACTCGTACTTAGATTTTGACCTTTTTAATAGTTTTTATATAGAAAAACTTTTTTATATCATTATAATATTAGAAAAATATTTATATGTATACGTATATTTATATGTTAACAAAGAAACAACTGGCAAATTGATATTTATTAAGATTTTTAATGATCTTTACATAATCAATTAGCACATTTTTTTAAACGTTCTCAATGTATAAGCTACGCTCAAATGCCGAAGAAAATTTTCGGAAAGAAGATTCTGTAATTGTATTATTTTATTTAACTTTATTCGCTAGGTCATTGTCACTGCAAACGCTTCGTACTCCGCTAACAAAATCTATATTCTGGTGAGCACACTCAAGTATCTATAAAATAAAGCATTCAATGCTTTCTTTGACTTGACCAGATAAGAAACAAAAGATAAGTTTAGAATCATATTATTTTAAAAATACAAAATTTCGTCCACATAGCTCCGTATACATTATTTGATAAAATAAATTTATTTAGACACAACGCCCTAATTTCCCAGAAGAGTACAAAAAAAACGTAATACAGAAGGAGGAAAACAATATTATTTGTATATAATAAATAGATGTACGACGCAGAAAGAATAAACGGAGAAATTGTATGAAAGAAACTATGTAATAATAACACCATTTATATGATTAAAAGTAGTTTTAATGTGTTATTGAAATGGCCGACTGTAAATATGATTGTCGTCATATAAGGGTTCAAATGATTTAGTATTCGAAGGTTTGATGTCTTCGGAATACAAATGTATGAGCTCACTTGTGATCCTTTGTGGTTGAGGTTAGCGCCCGAAAGTGAAACCTTTGTCAAGCAAAGATTATTGGACCTGAGAGATTCCTTTGGATGACGAACGCGTCATCTTTGTTAACTGATTTTTCTTTTATAATATATGTATATGAAATTTTGCTATTATTAATCTAGAAATACCGAAAAACTATCACAAATATCTCTTACTAACATAATTGTTTTAATTACCATATATTTAACATCAAATAAACGAGAATTCGGATGAATTTTAGCAAAAATAAGAGAAAGCAAATTGAATAAATTCCGAAGAGTCACAAGCGATTTAAAACAATTTGATCGCATTAAACGAGTGGGAAGCTCGAATATTACATATATAACAAATAAAATGAACGGTGCAATTATCGTGAATGAATGTCCCATGGAATCTATATTAAAACGGTAATATATTACCGCCGTATCGTATTACCTAAGTAATGTCTCCAATTAATATTTCTGACGTCGAGGGCGTACTGCGCGCCGCGTTACTTTGAGGGTAGCAATCTACATATTAAATACTTCCAGACTTACTCTGTTTGTTATTTATCAGCTTTAGTTTTAAAGCAATATAAATAAAGAGTAAAATAATAATTTTATTCATAAATGTCTTTTCTTTGTGAAAAATCTAATACACTTAATATTAGAGAATGTACAGAATGAAAGAAAATGTGATATATCTGCGTAGAACGTCACTATTGCCGACAATGTGTTTGCTGTTTATTAAACTTGTCAAAATATTTTTATATTGCTTTCATAAGATGAATTCTCAAGAATGTATTGAACGAAATTCTCAGTTTTTCGAATAACATATTTTAATTTAATAATTATGACATAATAAATCATATTTTTTTTGCTTTAATTAATATTTTAGAAGCGGTTTATCGTGATTTTCGACTATTCGATATTCAAACCAATTAACTAAAAACCTTGACATATTAATGAAGTAGATCTACTTAGGATCTGGCATTTTTTATCCAAATATATTAATTACCAAAAAATAAATATTTTTCAATATTAAATCCAACTATATTGGTACCAAATATTAATTTTTTTAAATATACTTACGTAAATACACGTTTATTATATGTTACAAACACTATCACATATAATTTAAAACATATATAAAATCCGCCAATACTCACGTGTGTCTTTGCCGCGGCGTGCGTGCGATTGCGTCCGAACCGCACTGCACCGCTGTTATATGCGCGTGCGCACACTTGATATGCAAAGGGTGCTTGGATTGTGGGTTATTTTGTTGTTTGAACACTATTTCATATTATGAATATTTGACATCATTATTACTTTATTTCAGATCTAATAAATTACGCATTAATGATATAATTACATTTATAATAAGTAAACTATTTATTGGAAAAATGAAGTCAGCTAATGATAAGTATCATATATTCATAGTTTTATAATGATAGGATTACACCTCATCATGACAACACGCAGGTGTAAAATGACACCTACTATTAGTGGGTATTGCAAAATCACCTCAAATCACACACTGGAACACTTCCCTTATCTTATCTTTAAGAATTTAATAAGTTCTTCACACGATGATTACTATCCTTAATCTTTTATAACAAGAAATTATAACAAACAACCATATTACAAAATTCCCTACATTGTGTCGTGTTTTTGCTAGTAATATTGTTACCCGCGACTTCACCTGTGTACTCGCTTTTTATAGTAAGTATATGCATCCTGTGTTACTTTGACAAGTTACCTACATTTGGGTAAAATCTATATAACTCCGTTTAGAAATTTTTGAATAAAATTTTGATAAAGATTCAAACATATTCACAAAGTTTTACTTTAAGTGAATAATATTTTTTTTATAATGTAGAATATTTACCGTTATAGATATAATTTTAGTATCAAATGCAGAATTTTTCTTCTGCAACTAAAATTTTTTTGAGCTTAATGACATTTTAAGCCAT